TTGGCACACTGCAGCCTCCCCCTCCTGAGTTCAAGCAATTCTCCTCCTGCCTCAGCCTCCCAAGTAGCTGGGATTACAGGCACCCACCACCATACCCAGCTAATTTTTTGTATTTTTAGCAGAGATGGGGTTTCACCATGTTGGCCAGACTGGTCTGGAACTCCTGACATCAGGTGATCCACCCACCTCAGCCTCCCAAAGTTCTGGGATTACAGGCATGAGCCACCACGCCCAGCTAATTTTTGTATTTTTAGTGCTAATTTTTGTATTTTCAGTAGAGACAGGGTTTCGCTATGTTGGCCAGGCTGGTTTCAAACTCCTAAGCTCAGGCAAAAACACCTGCCTTGGCCTCCCATAGTGCTAGGATTATAGGCATGAGCCACCGTGGCTGGCCAGCCATGAACAGTTTTGATGGGGCAGCCAGGGAACTGGCCCAGGGCTGTGGGATTCAGGTGGGGTCCAGGAGCACAGGACAGACTGGGAAGCACTCTTAGGACTCTGCTGGTGCAAAGGAAGGGCTGCGAAAAGGGGCCTGGAAGTGGATAGAAGCACAGGGACTGGCACAGAGGCAGAAGATGCCCTGACAAGGACGGGGTAGTGCTTCAGTGGGGATCTAGGAGATCTGAGCCTGACCAGAGGCCTTGATGGGTCAGAGGACAACGAGCTCAGTGAGGGCATTTGTCATTCCCTCCCACATATTATCAGAGTTGGTGTATGTGAATAATACAAGTGATGGTATGTCATTTCTGAAATTAGATTATAAAACTATTTGCACCTCCATCTTGGTTAGTCTCTCCCTCCCTCTCAAGCCAGCTGCCATGTCTTGAGCAGCACTATGGAGAGGTCCACGTGACAAGGAACTGAGGCTTTTGTCAGCACCCACTTGAGTGAGCTTGGAAGCTGATCTTCCAGCCCAAGGCAAAGCTTCAAGTTACTGCAGTTGTGGCTGACATCAGGACTGCAACCTCATGAGAGATTCTGAGCTAGAACCAGAAACTAAGTCATTCTCCAATTCCTGACTCCCAGAAATTGTGCAAGATAACAAATAGTTGTTGTTTTAAGCTGCTTAGCTGTAGGGGTAACTTAATAGCAATAAACAAATAATACAATCCAGCCTTCCATCCATCTCTTAGGTTGTCGGGAAAGCCCTCAAGGAGCCTGGCTCCCCGGCTCTGGCCTTCAGAGCACTCTGCTCCCACATTCAGTGTCTGAGTGGTGTGCCTGAGTTGGCTTCTACTGGCTCATAAGGGCTGAATGTTATTACATGTTCAGGAATTTTGTGAGCCAGATGATGTCACATTGACAATTTGAAATCAGCCATGGTGGGAGTTTTTATGCCATGTAAGAGACAAATGCTACAAATCACTTCCCTCCCCCAGCCAATTGCTACAAATCACTTTCCTCCCCCAGCCATTTACCAGCACACCACTGCCCTTAATTACTCCCATCTCCGTCTCTTTAAAATATTATGTATTTCAAGTTTAAAGACTAACATAACCACCTGTATACTAATCACCCACTTAAGAACTGAGGCGCTCATCAATTCAATGTCCCCCAAACCCCTCATCTCGTGACTGCTTCCTTTCCTACCTGAAACAAATCATCATTATGAATGTTCTGTTTATCAATGGCATGCATTTTTTGTACTTTCACTATATACAGATGTGTTCCTAAACAATACGTAGTACTATACTTTGTGACAGTGGTGGGTACTACACATTTTCAAATTTTATACAAATGGCATCTTAGAGTATGTTTTCTCCTGCATCCTGCTTTTTCACCCAATATTGTTTGTGAGTCATGTTGATATGATTCGCTATATTTCATTTACTTTTACTTATATATAGTATTCCATTGTATGACTATACCATAATTTATTGATCCACTCTCCTGTTGGTGGGCATTTAAGGTTGCTATTTTATTTTGTTTTTGCAACTATTAATTAACAAAACAGCTACTTGCATTTTTACTTGTGCCACTTAATACATGTGAAAGTTTCTGTAACATATTTTCCTAGGAATTAAATTGCTGGGTCATAGAGTATACACTTTTTGTTTTTTGAGATGGAGTCTCTCTCTGTTGTCCAGGATTGCAGATGGAGTGCAGTGGCGCCATCTTGGCTCACTGCAATCTCCTCCTCCCAGATTCAAGTGATTCTCCTGTCTCAGCCTCCTGAGTAGCTAGGATTACAGGCGTGTGCCACTATGCCCCAGCTAATTTTTGTATTTTTAGTAGAGATGGAGTTTCACCATGTTGGTCAGGCTGCTGCTGAACTCCTGACTTTGTAATTCACCTGCCTTGGCCTCCCAAAGTGCTGTGATTACAGGTGTGAGCCACTGCGTCTGGCGAGTACACACTTTTTCAAGTTAACTGGAGAATCCAAATTGCTCACAAGAGTTGCTAAACTTCACATCAAGGACATTTCTAGCAGCTTTATTCATAACAGATCCCAAACTGGAAAGAATTCAAATTTCAATCGATAAAACAATGCAGAAATAAACTATCTATACAATGGAATACTACTTAGCAACACAAAGGAACAAACTACTCCTACATGCAACAACATGGATGGATGGATCTCACAGGTATGTTGAATGAAAAAAACCAAAACTTCTATGAAGTTTAGAACAGGCTAAATCTGTCATGAAAAGCAGTAAGAATAACAGTACCTCGAGGAGGGAGGTATAAAGTGGGAAGGGACATGATGGAACCCAATGGGGGTTCGAGAGAGATTCTATGTCTTGATGCGGGTGGCAGTCACCTTATGGTATACACTTAAGATTTGTGCACTTTATACACTGTCATCTCCCCATTAAAAGATGTAAAACATAAAAGCACACACCAAAGTAGCTAAACCAGTTTATGCCCTTACTGGCAGTGATCCTGCTATTGGGACAGTGAGACTTGATCATTTTTTCCATTTGAAAAGTGTAGCATGGCATCTGATTGTGGCTTCATTTGCATTTCCCTGGTTACTGATGAGGGTAGATATCTACTGGTATGTTTGTTGGCCATTTGGATTTTCACTCCTGTCAACAGCCTATTCCCATCTTTTGCCCATTTTTCTATGGAGTTGTTTTTTTTTTTCCTCACTGATTATAGAAGTTCTTTTTTCTTTTTTGGAGACAGTCTCACTCTATCACCCAGGCTGGAGTGCAGTGGCACGATCTAGGCTTGCTGCAGCCTCTCCCACCTGGGTTCAAGCAATTCTCCTGCCTCAGTCTCCTAAGTAGCTGGGATTACAGGCACCTGCCACCGCACCTGGCTAATTTTTGTATTTTTAGTAGAGATGGGGTCTATCTTGGCCAGGGTGGTCTTGATCTCCTGACCTCATGATCCACCTTCCTCAGCCTCCCAAAATGCTGGGATTACAGGCATGAGCCACTGTGCCAGGCCAGAAGTTCTTATATAGTCTGGAAACAAGTCCTTTGAAGATACATGGATTGCAAATATCTTTTTCCAGTCTATGGCTTGTCTTTTCAAGCTTTCAGCAATATCTTTTAGTAAACCAAAATTTTTAATTCCAGTGTGGTTAAATTTATTATCTTCCTTTATATCCTGTGCTTACTGTTCCTAATTTACAAAATTCATCCACAGGCTGAAGTAAAAAAAATTCTCCTATATTTTCTTCTAAAAAAAATTCTAAGTAAAGCTTTTCAGAATTGTATTTATTTATTATTTTGAGATGGAGTCTTGCTCTGTCATCCAGGCTGGAGGGCAGTGGTGCAATCTTGGCTCACCACAACCTCTGCCTCCTGGGTTCAAGGGATTCTCCTGCTTTAGCCTCCTGAGTAGCTGAGATTACAGGCATGTGCCACCACACCCAGCTAATATTTTAAACTGATCATGTTGGTCAGGCTGGTCTTGAACTCCTGACCTCATGATCTGCCCGCCTCAGCCTCCCAAAGTGCTGGGATTACAGGTGTGAGCCACTGCCCCTGGCCTAGAATTGTATTTTTAACTTACTTTTGTGTAAGATAAAAGGTGGGGCCAACCTACTCTTTTAACCCACTTAAAAGGAACTTGAGAAAAAAAAAAAAAAAACATGGTTTCTTCTGTACAGAGCTTGGCAAAACTTGAACAGGGACTGTGTGTCTACCTTGTGGTCTTGAGCTCCTAAGTGAATTCCTTTTCTTTTCTTTTTTTTCTTTTTTTTTTTTTGAGACGGAGTTTCACTCTTGTTACCCAGGCTGGAGTGCAATGGCGGGATCTCGGCTCACCGCAACCTCCGCCTCCTGGGTTCAGGCAATTCTCCTGCCTCAGCCTCCTGAGTAGCTGGGATTACAAGCACGCGCCACCATGTCCAGCTAATTTTCTGTATTTTTTTAGTAGAGACGGGGTTTCACCATGTTGACCAGGATGGTCTCGATCTCTTGACCTCGTGATCTACCCACCTCGGCCTCCCAAAGTGCTGGGATTACAGACGTGAGCCACCGCGCCCGGCCGTGAATTCCTTTTCTAATCTTTTGCAACCAGGAAATTATTTTCTCCTGGCAAACTCCTCTCTTCTTTTAGCTCTCTGCCTGCTGTAGAAGCACTGAACACCTGAGCATATACAAGACTACAAGGTCCCTCCTGTCTCCCTGGTACATATATTTAAAATGTAGTCCAGCTAATTATAGTTAGATTTAAAACCTGTATTGTAAGTCTGGGGCTTGACTGCAGAGACAGTGCCAGGCATAGCTGGGCTCAAAGGCTGTTTGTTGACTGGGAGAATAGATAATGCTGCCTATTTGTTCCTGCTACTTCTGCCAGTGACCAGTGTGGGGACCTGAGTTAGTCATTTAATATATTCACCTATGTCACTTTCCATATCCTGCCCAGGGGATTATGGACACCTTCAGACGGGCTATTCTTCCTGTTTGACCTGCAGGCCTAGCCAAGTGCAGGCAGGGAGCAAGGACTCACCCACACCTTAGGTCATTACTGTATTTTGTCAAAGTTACCTCTTCCCTCAACATCTGCAGTCAGCTCTGGGGTCATTCACAGAGAAGCACACAAATAAGCGTGTTGGAAGTTTTATTCTCACCTGGTTAGGAATTGAAAGGCTCTGAAACCAGAAGTCTGCCTTGGTTTGAGTCCTTGCTCTGCCACTTTTAGCTGGGAGTCTTTGGCAATTTACTGAACTTCAGTGAGCTTCAGTCTCATCTGCAAAATGAGATAACATAGGTAAAGCACTTAGAACTTTGCCACACACATAGCAAGTGGTCACTGAAGATGAGCTATTATTACTACCTGCAACAGAAAGTTTAGGAAGACAGATTTTGGGCAGCAGCAATTTCTGTTTCAAGTCTCTTGAAAGATGCCTTTCTTTTCTTATGGTTGAGAGTTTTGAAATATGAAAAGGGCTTCCAGACACCCATTCCCTTGGGCACTATTCTGAGTTTCAGATTCTTATCTTGCTCAGCTTTTGGGTCAGAGAGGAGGAAAGGATGTCAGGGATCACAAACTGGCAGCCAGTGAAGCTGCATGGGGCCCCTGGACATGCTGGGTTTGGCTCTTTTCACTTGGATTAGTAACCAACTTTAAAATTCACATTAAAGGTTTCACTTAAAAAAAAAAAGAAGTACTTCCAGCTTTTCTTGAAAGATCTGGCTGGGCTGGAACCTCATTTCTACATGGTGCTCCCCAGCTAACGGCCCTTTTGGTTGTGCCTTGGACCTTCAGTATTGTCACCCACCCTCACTTGGCTTCTGTGCTGTAGGCATCTGGGTGTGGTACCCTCTCAGAGGACAGGCAGCTGTCCTACCCCCCTTGTGGGCCAGGATAAGACTCAGGGGTAGTCTGCTCCTGGAGAAAACATGGCTCAAGAGGGAGAGGTCTCAGCAAAGTTGCTCCTGCGTTGCCCCTGTGGTCATCATCCTTTCTGCCCATGAACTCAGCAACCCAAAAAAGCTCCTGCAAGTAGATAGACCTACAAGTGAATGGAGACTGGCCAACTCCCACTATCACTCACTCCCTCACAGAGTTCTTTTCATTCCTTTCTTTTCTTTTTTTTTTTTGAGATGGAGTCTTGCTCTGTTGCCCAGACTGCAGTGGCATGATCTTGGCTCACTGCAACCTCCGCCTCCCGGGTTCAAGCAATTCTCCTGCTTCAGCCTCCCAAGCAGCTGGGACTACAGGCGCACACCACCCTGCCCGGTTAATTTTTTGTATTTTTAGGAGAGACGGGGTTTCACCGTGTTAGCCAGGATGGTCTAGATTTCCTGACCTCGTGATCCGCCTGGCTCAGCCTCCGAAAGTGCTAGGATTACAGGTGTGACCCACAGCCCTGGCTGTGGATTTCTGCTCTTAGGCTCACCATCCTTCCCCCATTAATCCTTCTGAAACACTAGACTACACCATCAGTTTCCCCTTTCTCCATCACCTGAGGCAGAAACTGACAGTTACCTACCCATCTCCCTTTAGCCATTAGAGCCAGGCCAGAAAGGCGGCAGCACCATCTTCCCTAAGTGCCAGGAGGATCCCGGAGGATAGTAAGTGCTTATTAAATAGTATCATGATAACCTGACACACGTAAGACAGTTAACAATGCTCAATAAACTCTCGTCCCTTGTTTTCCCCCTTTTATATACAACCTCTTCTTCTTTGAGACGGAGTTTCACTCTTGTTGCCTAGGATGGAGTGCAATGGTGCAATCTAGGCTCACCGCAACCTCCGCCTCCCGGGTTCAAGCGATTCTCCTGCCTCAACCTCCTGAGTAGCTGGGATTAGACAAGCGCCACCAATCCTGGCTAATTTTGTATTTTTTTTTTCTTTTCAGTAGAGAGGATGTTTCTCCATGTTGGTCAGGTTGGTCTCGAACTCCCGACCTCAGGTGGTCCGCCCAACTCGGCCTCCCAAAATGCTGGGATTACAGGAGTGAGCCACCGCGCCTGGCCTGTCCAACCTCTTCTAAGTCTCCAGTAATACCTTAAAACAGACCTGACAATTGCCAACCCCTTTTACAATGTTTTAAGTTTCCTGCTGCCTGCAGAATAAAGGCCTTTTACAAACCCGGCCCAGGCTTCCCTCCGGAGGTATCAGCTCGCATCATCCTCAGTCCCCGTCAGAGTGAGCTGCTGTGTGCAGTCTTCTCACTCTGCCTTTGCTTGGTCTCCCGCCTGGAATGCCATCTCCGCCTCTGCGCTTGACTGGGGCTTCCGGTCCGCCCCTGCTCCAGTTGCCCCAGGACGCCTGCCTGGAGCCCTCGCCCTGTCCCTTGTCCTATTTCTGTGAAACTTTCTATTTCGGTCTGTCGGGAGCGTCTGAAGCGGTTTCCCCGGGGAACTCCGGTCCAAAGAGGGCCAGTGATGTCTTTGGAACTTTCTGGAATGTCCTGACTCCCGCGGCCCCCTCTGCACCGTACAGAGCAGTGAGACTAAGGTAAGTGCGCCTCCTGGAGCCCGGGTGCTATGGTTTGGACCGAGGCTGCAGAGCTGGCTCTCGCCCTGGAGAGATCACTGGAAGAGGAGGAGCGCGGATACGCGGCTGTACTGACAAAGCGATCCCGCCGCTCGCAGGGGCTTGTAAATCGTGCCCTCTTTCGTAAGGGGGTAATCTGACGTTCAGGGCAGACAACGACTCGGCCAGGGTCACTTAGGTGAGTGGCGCGCTCAGGGTCCCCCAGGGGGCGGCTGTGGCCAGCAGCAGCGGCGGTCCCCGCCGGCGTGCGGGTGGGCGGCAGAGCCCTCCTCGGCCCGGCCTGCAGGGAGGGGCGGGGCGCGCGGGGGCGGAGGCGAGGGCCCGGGCGGGGCCGACACAGGTGCTCCGCATCCGGCCGGGGGGCGGCTCCGAGGAGCTGCTCGGTGGAGCTTCATAAGCTGCCGGGGTGCGGGGCTGCGTGCGGCCCGCTGCAAAAACAGTGCCCACGTGCGTGCGCGTGTCTCGCCCGGCGCCCGGCCGGCCAGCCCGTCAGCCCCGCAGGGCCACACCGGCCCCATGGCGTTCCCGCTGGTAAGAGCCGCCCGCCGCTCGCCTGGGCGGGGCCGCGTCCCGGCCGCAGTAGCTAACGGTCCGCGCGCAGCCGGGTCCGGCGCCACGGTACCCCATCCCCCGCCCCGTGCGCGAGTCCCGGGCGGGGCGCGGTCACGTGCCCGCGGGCGTGGGGCCTCGTGGAGGGGTGGAGGGCGAGGGGGGCAGGGAGCCTCCTCGTGACTCAGGGCCTTTGGGCTTAAAGGCGCCGCAGCCTTGCGGGGGTGGCCGGTGGGGCCTCCTAGCCGCACTGCGGCCTCCGGGCGGCCTCGAGCGTATGTCCAGACGGGAGCTGACCGGACAGAAAGGAGCCCTGGGGCCCAGAACACTTCTTCCTCACACTGCCGTCGCACCCGAAGCCGCTGGCGCTGGCAGCTCACGTCCCGCTGTGGGTCTCTTTCGCGCCCGCCGCGGGGCGAGGGGGAAGCCGGGCGGGGCGGGGCGGGGCTTCTGACGGCGTAGACCCCGCGCTGTGTGGAGAGCCCCACGACGGCGGCGGCCTCGGCCCCTTTAAGGCGGAGGGATCGAGCCCCTCGTGCGGCTTCCCGGGCCCGGGCAGGTCACGTGGCTTCACACCTTCGCTTGGCGCCGGAACGGGAGTCCTGGGGCGAGGCTGGCCAAGCAGTGTGGCGCGAGGGCGGAAGACTGGCGGGGCTTCGCGCCCGGGAGAGCCGCGGGGCTGTCGGCTTGGAGGTGGGTCCTGGGGCGTGGGTGGGAGAGGGGTAGGCGTGCAGGCCGCGGAGGTGGCGCAGGCGGGGAGCGGCCGGAGCCCGCGCTGCTGCGCTGTCCAGACCCTGCGGCCTGGCGAGCGGGTGCATGTGGCCTCAGCGTTCTGGTCATTCTTCTCAGGGCCGGACGAGGCCAGGTCTCCAGACTCGGGTCCGGACTCAGGTTTGGTGGACCCGCGGCTGGGGCGCTGGACCGGCCGCTTCCCTTGACGAACTGGTTGGGCGGGCCTGTGCCCGCCTGGAGTCACCCGGGAGTTGGGGGAACTCACCCGCAAAGGGGCTCTCACCTTGGGGTGTCCCAGCCGGCGTCATTCGCCGGGGCTTTTTCTTCTCTCGTGGGTTCCTCTGCGGTCGAGTCGACCGAGGCTTTGCTGCCTCCTCCTAGGGGGCCCCGGGAGGCCAGAAGGCCCTGGGAGCGGCCCCGCGCTGGCCCCGGGACCCGACCGAGAAAAGCCAGGCGGGCGCCTGGGCTTTCGGGCGCCTTCGTGGGCGCGCGCTTGAGCTCTCGGTGGCGCTTTGCCCCCTGCAGGCCTGGGCCCTTGCACCGTGCTGTCAGCTAGGGTTCCTCCCGTGGGGAAGAGTCGGGAGCGGAATCCGCCCCTAGAAGCCGGGGTGCCTCCCGCCAGGCCCGCCGGGGAGAAGGCCGCGTCCCTCCTCCCCCGCCCCGCGCCTGCAGCCCGGCCCTGACTGACGCCCTAGTTCTGTGGCAGCCGCTTCCCTTGGTCTCCCTGGCTACCGCCCTGCCTCCCCGCAGTCTCCTGGCACCTGAGTCAACCACTGGGCTGCGTGGTTGATGGGGACGAGGGGCAAGTGGGTGGGGTTCCTATTCTGGAAGGCACAGGTGCGCCGCCCGCCTCTTGGCTGCCCCTCAGGTGACGGGGCTGTCCTTGCCAGCGGGAAGAGTGTCTGCTGAGGACAGTTTGCACCCTGAGGCTCGTGTTCCCTTTGAGTCTAGGGACACACGTGGGTTAAAAAAGAAAACATTCAAACAGAACCTAACCTTGGAAACCTCAAGTTGCTGATTGTTTTCCTGATTGGTTTTTTGCAGAGATAGAAAAGCTTGTGGAGCTCAGGGGACTGTCGGAAAACCCTGGGGACCGTGTTTTTGGGACTCATCGCCGGTCTTTTACTTGTCCCCATTGAGCTGGCTTGGAGCTGAGCTATATTCTCAGAGCGCTTTGCTATAGAGTTTGGCTTTTTAAATTCTTTGTCACGGCGATTTGAACTTTGGGTGGCCTGGTAGCACCTGCTCAGTTTATAGAAATAGGATTTGGAAGGTGACTACTCTGTGTGTAAGTCAACCTTTGTGATATAAAAATCCTTGGCTTCCCCCCTCCGAACGGCTCGCTGATAAACAACTCCCTGGCCTAGGCTCCCGAGAGTGGGAGGGAGGTCGTGCCAGCCTGTGCAGCACGTTGGAGGTTGGAGAGCTGAGGCCCGTGGTGAATGACGCTGGGAACGTTTCCAGTTTGGGTTAGGCCATAGGCATGTGCTAGAGGAATGGCTCCATGGGCTTCTCTTTCACTGTAGTGCACAGACCAGTGCCCGTGAAGGGAAAAGTGGAGGCGCATGATAAAGTACTAAGACTCCAGGCTCAGCACCAAACTTAGCTAGTGAGCTGATGAGAATAGCTGCCGTCATAAGCATTTTCACGAGCACAACCATTAATTGTGTTCCGAATCTTTAAAATGGGTTGCAAACGCAAACCCTGCAGGGGCCTGAAGTAACATAAGTGAGCAGAGGAGGAGGAAGGAAAGGTAATGGCTACTGAGCTACAGAGTTTGTTTCTCTGAAAGGAGCAGACGCTAGCTGATTGTTGGCTATCTCTATTTTGATGAATCTCCTGACTTTTAAGTGTAGCATTAAAAAAATTTTAAACATGTCTTTAATGTTGGATTCAACCTGAAGGCTAGTTTGGAGTCTGTCTTAAAATATCCCTGTTGGATTTTCCTATTTTGCAGAAAAGGAAATAGGCTTAGAAGTCAAGTCACAAGGCTGTTAAGTGACGGAATTGGGTGTCAACCTAGGTCTTTCTGGTGCCATAGCCCAGCCTATTATGTTATGTGTGTTCTGTTATGTCAGAGGAACAAGGGGTTATTGGTGACGTACACTGTAGAAGAGAGGTAGTGGTCTGGGAGCTGGTCACATTTATAGGCAAAGTGAACGTTAACTGCATTGGCAGGAATCCCAGTTGCTGTAGAAGTCAGTGTGGGTCTTCTGAGTGTTAGTACAGCAGCACTGATGTCGGGAGGAATGTGCTGCGTCTATCATTCCACAATGTATGTCAGGGCAGTTAGCTGATCCTGAGAGCTGGAGGTCTGGAGAAGGCAGGCTCCTCCCACTGTGGGGGTGACCCTCCCAATCCTCTACACAAAAGACTCCTTTTTTCAGGACAGTTAAAATTTCAGTAACTTTTTCTGTCTGAGGCAAGGCAAATTTGAAGTTATATACTTGTTTTAGGAACTGTAAGAGTAAAATGGTGCTTACTAAATCTCACCTTGTCTGTCTTAGCTAAAATTTCCATAATGCTGTTTCTTAGATTTCCAGGAAGAATTAATAAAGGGTTAAAAAGAAGAACTTTTTTAAAACAGCATGTGGTAAAACCTTCTAAGATAAGCTCCCAGGGCATAAGATGACCCTGCCACAGAAATGAGGGGCTGAAGTTTCAATTCTGGATAAACCTTAGAATTCCAGCATTGTACACAGCCACAGTTGCTCATGTAAAGGGGTATATACATTTTTTTTCCTCTATTGCATTCCCTTTTTTTTTTTTTTTTTTTTTGAGACAGCCTCGCTGTGTCACCCAGGCTGGAGTGCAGTAGCGCCATCTTGGCTCACTGCAGCCTTTGTCTTGCAGGTTCAAGTGATTGTTCTGCCTCTGCCATGGGAGTAGCTGGGACTACACGCATGCACCACCGTGTCCAGTTGATTTTTGTATTTTTAGTAGAGACAGGGTTTCACCGTATTGGCTAGGCTGGTCTTGAACTCCTGACCTTGTTATCTGCCCGCCTCGGCTACCCAGGGTGCTGAGATTACAGGCATGAGCCGCAGTGCCTGGCCTGAGCCACAGTGCCAGGCTGCATTCCCAAGGATTTAAAGGAGTGGAAAGCATATTCAGAGCTTTTGCAAAAGAATTTTTTTTCTGCGAGAATGCAAACTCAAATACAAGCTAGATAGCTTTCTTACTTGTGTCCTAGAAAGTTTTTGGAAAGATGGAAACTTTAAAGTGTTACTTACCTCTAGCTGCTTCTTAGCAACCTTTGCCAGCCAAGCACTCAGCTATGAGTTCACTGTTTGTGGATTTGGGGGCGTGGAGTGTGCTGGGAAGGGTGAGGTGACTAAAGCAGCTCTCTGCTGGTATTAATATTTTCACATTTATAATGTTAGGTGTTGTCTGTGCACACATTCTCATTCATTGGTTTCAGGTCCCTTAGTTAAATAATCATTTTCTAAGGTTACATTTATTTTAAGGGAAAATTAATTAGTGTGCTTGTACCTCTGGCTTACAGTTTGAGATAGAAATGCACACCACACCTAGGTATTAATGTTTAGACTGTTGTCTTTAGTAGCTAGTGGTGGGGGCAGTAAAAGGATCATGGGATCAAATAAATTATTTTCTCTGCTGTGGAGTAGTTGTGCTAATCTTATCCTGTTCTGCAAATCTGCTTTTCTGAGTCAGTATATAAACTGTACTGACTTTGGGGAGAATTTGCCAGAAAGCCCCCGAGGCTTAAGGGTAGGAAGGGGTTTGAACTTGAAGGTTGTGGTGGAGGTAGTTATATAGATAATTTTGCTTCTTTTGTTCAAATTAAGACCAAGAAGCTCTGATTGCACCCTTTACCATTTCTTAAGCCTTTTAAGATTCTATTATTATCATTTTTTTGTGAGAAGGTCTCACTCTGTCACCCAGGCTGGAGGGGTCAGTGGCGCAATGACAGCTTACTGCAGCCTAAAGCTCCCTAGCTCAACGGATCCTTCAGCCTCAGCCCTCCAAGTAGCTGAGACTACAGCCATGCACCGACATGCCTGGCTAATTAAGAAATTTTTTTTTTTTGAGATGGGTTTTGACTATGTTGCCCAGGCTGATCGTGGGCTCAATCTATCCTCCTGCCTCAGCCTCCCAGAGTATTGGGATTACAGGTGTGAGCCCCCATGCAGGCTCTTTTGTTTGTTTTTTTGTTTTTTGAGATGGAGTCAAGCTCTGTCATCCAGGCTGGAGTGCTGCGGTGTGATCTTGGCTCACTGCAACCTCTGTCTCCGGGGCTCAAGCAATTTTCCTGCCTCAACTTCCTGAGTGGCTGGGATTACAGGCTCCTGCCACCATGCCCAGCTAATTTTTGTATTTTTAGTAGAGATGGGGTTTCACTGTGTTGGCCAGGCTGGCCTTGTACCCCTGACCTTGTGATCTGCCCACCTCCCAAAGTGCTGGGATTACAAGCGTCAGCCACGGTGCCTGGCCTCATTCAGGCTCTTAAAGCCTTTTAGCCATTGTGAACTCTGCTTCCTTTGCCTCCCACATTGCAGTTTTGGAAATGCCTTTAGTTTTTTTCCTGCTATTGTTGCAGCCTGTTTTTTAGTTCCTGCTTATCAGAGTGTCTCATCTTCTGAAAGTTTTTATGTTGGAGATAGGACCTGCCGCAATAGTGCATTTCTCAATTATAGTAAACTAGTTGAAAAAGATTGAACTAAAACATGCATGATGTATGTGATATATCATATTTCCATAGGAAAATTACCTGACTTGCAGTGAAAAGTTAGTATCCAAATTTCAGAGTGCCAAATTCACATTGTAGATGTAATTTCCATGAATTTTGTTAGGTATCATTTTAAAGCCCAATGTTAACGGATTATTTTGCCATGCTAATATATAACAGGAGTGTTTTTTATTATTGTGGACCCCGGAGGATTCCCAACTGAATGGGGTTGAGCTTTACTTTCAGTAGTTCAGGAGAACACTTAGGAATGGATAACCTTTGAATTCTTATTTATTTTTTGTATTCTTGAATGGTGGAACAGTTCTTTTAAATTATAGTGCATTAACACTCTTTGTTTTGATTTATTTAAGGCATTCACTATTGAGTTCCCTTGAGATAACAGACAACCCCCAGAGGGCAGGTCTAAAGGTTGATTTGTATGCTAAAAATGGGTCATAGTTGCAAGTAGCTATTGATTCTGGGAGTAACTTGACTAATAGTGTTACTGGTTTCTTTATTCTTGGCCAACATTATATGCTGCCTTATGTGCCATGCAGACACATTTAGCACCACTGCCTATAGTCTGAAGTGTGGGAGTAGCTCTTCTCTCTTGGAAGAGAGCAGTTACTTTGAAGGGTAAGTTGGTTTTTTTGTGTCCTTTTACAGAACATTTAATCTCTTACTACTTAACATCTGTGTTCTCTGCATTCTTGCTTTGTGCTCCTGGGTTCTGGCTCTGACACCATCTGTTTCCCTGAGTCTGCCCTTTCTCCTGAGGCTTTTTGTTTTTGTTTTTTAAAGCTGTAATCTTGGAATTGTTTTGAAGCTCAAAAGGTGTTAGAGACCTGTCTCCTACGTATAACTCGGAGTTGACACCAAAGCCAGATTGTAATCTGACATTCTCTTTTTCACAGACTAAGAGAATTAAGTTTAGACTGAAAAGGGATTTCCTTAATTTTTTTTTTTTTTTATCGTTAGCTCTTCTTGTTGCATTGCTCCTTTTACCATTATGGATTTCCTTAATTTTATACAGTGAGCAGGAGATAGAGACAGAACTGGAACCGAAGTTTTTTCATTTCTAGGCTAGTACTTG